CTGGTGTGCATTAATGGCAAATCTGCAGCAATCTTGAGCTGTTCTTACTAGGATATGAGCAAAGTTGGGATATGTCTTCCAGCTGATGTTTCATATGTGGCCACCCAGTTGCAAAGCCAATGGCTTAGCGACCGCTGCTTTTTCTATTTGAAAGGCACTCCGCGCGTCCAGATTGTTCTAGGTGCAGGATGGCCATCATGAGACCCAGTTCCCGAGCTAGACTAAACCGAGTTATTCCCATCGCAGCATTGTCCTTTCCCGTCGCCGTGTTGATTTGCCTGGCAATTGTATTTGTCGGCTGCACGTCGCCATTTACGCCATTCAACTTGTACTTTATGAAGGTACACACTACCACTCTACAGGCTGCGGTGAAATATTGACTTCAATAATCAGGTAGATCTGAACAACTTCCCACAGATCGCTAATGCCGCGGCTCGACGTTCACCGGATACTGTCGGTATGGGCTCTGTGAATGTCACGTATGCAATGCAACAGTTTTCTAGAAATGCAAGAGAAGAGGCACGAAAGCATCTGCATCTAGCAAGGGGCGCAGCGACCATCGTTAGTCAAGTAAGTGATACTCTCGACACATTGCTCAACGACATCAAAGCAGATCTGCCCAGGTACTATCACGTTGGCCTCCTAAGTTACTGCGAAGGCCGAGACAATATCATCAATCGATGTTCCGATCCAAGCACTTCGTTCGTATTCAACCTGCGAGATATAGTTAGGTCTCTCACCGGAGAGATTAACGGGCTGTCAGCGAGTGGCGGAGAGGTCTATCTCTCAGGAAATCTACGCAGCTCACGAGCCATCATCTGCATATATATATCAGCCTATGTGGCAGCATTCTTGACATTGGTCTTTGGCATCAAAAGAATATTTATTTCTCGTGGAAGTGCATTGCTGGTGATCTCATCCCTTGTAAGTTCGCACCAGTCAGCGAGACACCGGCTCTACTAATTGGCGTAGATTACGACGATTCTACTCACCGTTGCAACTTCATGGTCAATCAGTCTATACTATGTCTACACGCAGCACATTCAGGACGTTTTGGGGAAATATGGTGCGCAGGCCAGTCTCGGAACTCACACTATAATTTCCACATGTATGGCAGTTGCCTTTTCTCTTGTATCAATTGGAATGAATATCTGGGTCACTCAGCTAAAGTAAGGCAGCCATTGGAGCGAAGTCCGAGCAGAGCGCAAGCAATAGTTAGCAAGTCGGACATATCTGACACTTCAGGCATACGACTGCACCAGCTGCTTTGAACTGCTCTTACTGGACAGTCAGTCTGGGGTGTGCCGATATCATTGGAATGATGGGAAAGCACATTAGGAAAGTTTATGGTGCTGTATTAGACGGATAGTGCAATGTTGTTTAGCAGTAAAGTATTAGGAACATCAACCATAGAATCACACTCAACGCTTCAAATTCTTCTATATGAGAAAAATGGAAGGGAGGGAGGGCTTTTGTCTGTATTTGCAACGATTTCTGAATGTGAAGCTATACTCACCACGAGGCAAGTTAAGCAAAGCCAAACGCAGTCCACCACATTCCTTTCCGAGGACACTTAACCAAAGTCCCTCGTCGTTACAAGAATGCGATAAACAGCCAACCCGTATGACTTATCATTGGGTTTGCACTTGGCCATGGTACAAATAATTGATTCGGGAGATACACGCCGTCTTGGCCCGTGGGTAGCGCTACGCAGGCGAAACTATACAGCGGACTCGATACTAGGAACAAAGTACGTCTGGCACGAGCTTACCCCTTGAAACTGGTCTTTAGACTTGTAGGTATAAGCTTGTTCACCTTTGATATCAGGGATGAGTACCACAGACCGAGGCTCCAAAGATTGCCAGCAAGCCAGGTGTATCTGAGCCTACGTCAGATGCTGAGATGAGACCCGCTGAAGCCTTCGCCCGCAGTGAGCTTGTTTTGTTCTCTTTCACAATGATGCTACGAAAAAAGTCAAGCTTGTACAAAGTGTGAAGCAGGGTTAGGCGGTCCCGGGAGAGATGATCCTCAGTTAATCCAGTCGACACACGTGATATTACCAGCCCTAACCGGCAGTTGCTTGATGAACCCGACTCAGAGAAATAGACATCACAGCAGTAACAAGACCTCTTGGATGCAATGTAGCTAATTAATCATCAGAGAAGATTACCAGCGTCTTGTTTTCTCTCGCATTTCTCTGTACCGCAAGTCCGGGAAAGTTCTATGCTAATTTGAGGACGATAGCTGTTTCGCAGCCCTTGGGATACTTATTTGCAGGTAAACAGTTCATTTCTCATATCTGCAACAGAATGCCTCCAACAAAGAGCGATTGTGGCAAATCCTTTTGCTGTCCGTCATGATGATTGCAGCTGTGCATATGAACTAGGGGTTGAGCTTTTCGGTCAGACTTATTGAGCTATTAACAGACCTATGCGACGTATCTTACTGTATAAAATACAAAGAAAATGCAGGTCGCAAGTTTTCCTGTTCCAGAATGGCAGTAGTATCTCATTTCACTGGTGCTGATAGGGCAGCAGCAGCAAGTGACAGTCAGTTTGAATGGGGACGTGACCTGCCGCGGTGGTTTTGATCAATAGCTGCGACTCTATTCAGTTTGATAGGTGTATTTATCACTAGCAGCCAGTTTATGCAGCAGAGCTTACGCGAAAGTCATCAAACAATGCCGTTGGATGCTAGCCCTCGCCCAATTAAGTGAAAACAGCCAATGAATTTTATCAGGCTGTGCGCGATTACACTAACAGAGATAATACTAGGAAACGTACCCCAGACACGATATATTCTCTTTGTTCTCAGTGACAAGCAGATGCCTGATAGCCAAAGTCATAGTTTAAATGTAGAACGCGGAGAACTTATCATGATGATCTTGTTTAACAGTAAGAAACCAAGTACCTGACTGCGAATCTAATGATGACTGCTCATCTAATGAATCCAGTTGCGTCCGCGCGTATTCTTCAAGTAAATAATGTGAGGGATAGTGGTCTCCGGGGAAATTTCGCCGTATCTAACTATATCCCGACATTTCATTTGGAGTAAAGGAGAGATCTAATAGAATTTCCATGACACACTTATCAAGCTCTGGGAATAGACAATAGTACCCAACAAAACTCTAACACAACTGCTGGGCTAACATCTCCGAGATTGCACCAGTCAGGGAGGCCAGTGTGAGTACAATTTGCTCCTTCAGGAGTTATCATTCCGTTTCTCATTTCTCATTTCTCATTATGAGGTGCTGGCACTGTTACTCGTTCAATGTTCCGGAACATAGTGGCTCACCAGCGGTGAGCCTCGACAAAGGCTCAGCCCTCACATGCTCAGCCCTCACATGCTCAGCCCTCACATGCTCAGCCCTCACATGCTCAGCCCTCACACCCAAATCGGATGCTCTAGATTACTGGGTGATTTGGTCTTTGGTGGCTTATCTTCCATTTGTAAATTGTGGAGCTGCTCGCAAGGGCAATCTTGGCGGGTATATTGTCTAGCAGTGCCGCGAGAGCGTAGCCAGATGACGGCAGCATAGCAGACAATCTGTGACACAGCCAAAGCTAGCGCAGCTATCACCATGTTGCTGATCGTCAGGTCGTAGGCGAGATGTATTGCAAGGTTCAATACTCCGAAGAGGCCCGCCGTGAGACATAGTCTAATATCCGGAGTCAGCAACCCAGAATGATACTTTTCTAGGATAGCCGACCGTACCTGTTCCCTAGAAGTAATATTCGTGACCTGAGCCCCGTGAACGGAAGCATGAACAAAGGCAGAAAGCCACATGCGGCACATGCAAAAGCAGCACCAATGCTGGCATTCTCCTTGCTCAGATTGTTGGCCAAAGAGCCTTGCAACACCGGCGGGAAGAGGAGGAAGCTGCATCATAGTCAGTAGTGAAGAGAGATCGGGGAGGTCGCGCTCCGCCTACCTTGTGAGGAAGAGCCCTGGTGGTAAGAAATTGGCCGTTTTCCAGAACCACTGGCCACAAACTACACGCAATCTGTCTCCTTGCTCTATACTTTTAACCATTTTGTCGCCGTCTGAACCTCCGTACCAGGTGTTCATCGTCGGCAATATCGTTTACTTGGTAGAGTCACAACCTGTAAAACTATAGAGGAAGAGAAGAAACCAACTATTTTTTAAGTTTGAAACAGCAAGGGATGAGTAGGACTGCCAAGTCGCGCTTGTGCTTGTAGGTGACAAGTTTAGCTTTTCATCATTAGAACTGGACCGATCTTCGTTGCCTAATTCGGTTGATAGCAGCCTACCCTTTGCCATGTGAGCCCTGAGTCTAGGTTATTTACTCAAACCCAAGCTGAGACACTACACTTCACCTGCCGCCACCTACTCACTTGCCGGTTTATTTCAACATTTCTGTCAAATTCCCTCTATTCAATAAACTTCTTCATTGACATAACCAGCCATCTTTTTGACGAAAGCATTAGCTACATCTGCGTTTGTGTTTTATTTCATCTCTCTTTGCGTGTTTTTCCGTAACTGAATCGATTGTATTGCCCTGTCAGCTTCTGCCCTCCGCTTGGATGGTATATCTTTTTTCGTTGGAATTTTGAATAAAGAAAACGTCTCCTAAAATACTAAGACTTCAGGGAGAAAAGTGACGGTGCAACCGTTGTTTGGTTCATCTCCTTTCCTCACCCCCGTGGTCATGTTTAATGCCTGACATACAGCTCCTCTTATAACGACACTCGGTCAGCGCTGCTCTGACATATCTCAACCTTCGATTCATTTAGTTTGCATTACATGTCTGGGTTTTCATGATGCTACGCACATTGCGGGGCGCCTCACGAACAATAGGCTTCACCATAGTACTTGCACTTCTCTTCTTTCAGACAAAAATTATTCTATGTGATCGATCTTCAGCAACAAGGCTTGATCTCGGGAATTCCCATCACGGGAAAGGCCAAGATGCCGTGGATTGGTCGCGATTTGCGTACTCGCAATATGCCACCAACACTGCTTACTTGTGCAACTCAGTCATGATTTTTGAGACTTTACATCGCTTGCACAGTAAAGCTGATCGGCTCTTGATGTACCCGTTGAGTTTTTCGGCTGATGAGAATGAAAACGGGACGGAGAGCCGATTACTTCGCAAAGCCCGGGATGAATATAATGTGAAGCTAGTGCCTGTACGCGTCCAAACGGGAAACAGAGAAGACCGTACGTGATGTCTTGTTTGAACTTGAGAGACCAAATGAACTAACACAATCTAAGCTACGTGGTCGAAAAGCTTTACAAAACTCCTCGCTTTTAATCAGACGCAATATAGTCGCGTTCTTAGCTTAGACTCGGATGTTACCATGTTACAAGTATGTATACGATGAAGCATGGATCGTAGCTTTCCAAGATTGTATCACTGACGTTCGGCAATCTAGCATATGGACGAATTGTTCTTTTTGCCTCCATGTCCTTTGGCCTTCCCTCGAGCTTACTGGCTGGATCCTGATCATCGCGTTATGACCAGCTATCTTATGATAATTGAGCCTTCTGAGCTCGAGTTTGACCGCATCGTAACTGCTACTGCAACATCACAAACATCAGACTATGACATGGAGATCGTGAATGCCATCTACAGAGACCATGCGCTCATCATTCCCCACCGACCCTATACCCTCTTGACAGGAGAGTTCCGTGAGGTTGTCCACGCCAAGTATCTTGGGAGTTCACGCGAAGTTTGGAATCCTCAAAAGGCTCTTATGGAAGCAAAGACCGTCCATTTCTCCGACTGGCCGGTTCCAAAGGTCCGTATCCCTTTGGGCCTTTTGCTGTGCCCAAGAGATTATTCGAGTTCATCCTGCTGATAGACCCTGTATAGCCTTGGGTTGATTTCCCTTCCAACGCTATGAATGAGCACAAGCCTTCTTGCCATTGGAACGTAACAAGCGGTGGAGATGATGACTGTCGCGACCGCGATTATTGGCTTGGAATCTACTTTGATTTCAACAACAGAAGAAAGGTATGTGGCTTTGCTGCGGCGCTGTTTGAAGCATCAGCTGACCGATTCAGAATGTCTGCGGTGACATTTAGTAGGTCGAACGACGTTGATCACGCTAGTGTTTTCTTGATCCTGTATTATTCTGTAGATCTAGCGGGCTACCCAATTCCGATCCAGGCAACAATGCTTGTGTCATTTTGCCCTGAGCTCTGGCTTGATTGACCGGCTCAGTATCTGTCAAGGTGATTTCGCCCGTAGCGTGGTTCTTGTTTTAGACAGTTTCAAATCGCCCGTTGCCTATCGTACCTATGGAAGCGGCGGTCCTAGGTATCCCAGAGAACCCAGGCGCCCTTCAGCTTTCCGCCGATCTCAATGCTTAGTGTCTTTCTATGAAAGTATTTGAATTTGGAAATAAGCAGAGGTGTAATTAGTGAACATCAATAATGTGTTGAAACTATTCTACGTACTGGAAATGGTCCATCCTCGTTTAAGGTGCTCACTGCTTTATTTTCCAGGACCCGCTCTTTGTTGGTGCTGATTCTTTTCTTACTTCTCTCAGTTGCCATTCGTCTCTTGTTCAATACCTTCTATCTCTCAGATATCAACTTGCGAATCAATGAAGGGTTGCAGAGTCTGCACACAGCCATATAAAGCAGCATGTACAAAAGCACATCGACCAAGCTCATCTTGTAGATTGGGACCAGCAAGTTCCACAGGGATGGTGAACCACAACGTTTTCAATGAAGAACGTGGGACCAGCGAGTCAAGCTATAGCACTTTGGATCACACTAGCGGCCGAGTATATTCCTAGGGAGATAATTATTCGGGAGGCCTCAAATGGCAGGCGCGACTATGCGGGGTTAATCTACAGAGGTAGGCTTACACTACCTCCAGGCCATTAGGCTTTGGCAGAGCAAGCCAGATTCTTCCGTAAATGGGCCTGAAGAATTGGAGTTCCAAAAGGATCAGATCAAATAGGAGACAGATAGTTACTCAGTGCTCAGCTAAGAGGACATCTGATCAGTCTCATCAACCAGGAGAGCCATATAGCTCGAGTCCTGTGCAACAGACTGTTTAATTTCGGTGGCGAGACAGATTTGATTATATATATGGTGCCGAAGTCCAAGGCTCCCAATTCAAACTCTTCCGATCCTCATGACAAGATAGTTGGGTTGTTGGATATGTGTGTATAGACTCGGAGAATTTCACACGACAAGAGCACGTAACACCCGGCGCAAGCCGTCGTAATCGGGCTCTTGGCCGAACCCAAGCCGTTTCACCGAGCGGAGGAATTTGCACAGAGGTTCCAATCCACCGCAAAGCTCCTTGGTCGTGATAGCGGATTTCTTCGCAAACATCAGATCTTTGGTCTCGGCAGGGAGGTGTTGCCAGGGGAGTTGTCCACGTATAAGATACACCAGGACATAACCAAGAGACTCCATATCGTCGCGCCGCGACACTGAATGACCACGATGACTGTTCAGACTGGCGAAAACAGGCGATCCTACCATTTGAGTGGCTTGCCAGGGCGCATGCCTGTGGGCCGTGGTGCCCCGATACCTTTCAGCAACGGCAAAATCGATCAGCAGCACTCGCTCTCGAAACTGATCATACACAATATTTCCAGGTTGAACATCCCGATGTATGAAGTTCCTGTTGTGTACAAGTTGCAGCGCACAGATCATCTTGTCTCCAATGCTCACAACCTCCTCCAGGGAGAAGAAAAGTCCGCTGCTTGCCAGTCGAGGTCTTCCCAATCTATGGTGCATGGTCTTGTAGAGACTTGGGCCCAGCTGCTCCATAATCAAATAGCATCGATATCTATTCTCACCTCTGTATCTGTATCTTTCACGGCAGTAGTCATGGACAGTCGGGATACCTTCACCGCGGCCCAGCTCTTGGTAGACACTGTATTCGTGGTGCAGTGTGTTGCCTTTCGGACTAGATGACCAGGGGATCCGTTGCTTTTTGATGGCGACTTTCTCCTGGGTGCAGTGGTTGGTCCCTAGTGATAATCAACATGGGTGAAAGTGCGGGACGAGGGGCCGATATTTCTACCCACCTAGATAGACATCGGCAACGCTTCCTTTGCCTAGTTCCCGTCCAGGTAAGCAGTCGAACGACCACTGGGCGTTCAGTCTTTTGATCTGCAAATTCGTGAGATCAATGCCTTCTTGGTATGATGCTTCTTGCTTTTACCAAGATTGGACCGACCTTTGATGACAGAGACATCCCTTAATGTGCAGGTAGAGTTGACTGTGAAGGGTACTTAGCCACGATAACTAGGCCTTGGGTCACGCCGGGCGAGAAGCCAGCGGGGGAATTGCGCACCAGTGGAGAAGGGGAATCTGAAGACTCGGAATATTTGGCGAGAATCACTCAGACGGGGTGTTTTGACCACATACCAGGCTTTAGGGAACTGAGTTATGATGACGTTGCTCCCATAGTTCTGCGCAAGGATTTCGCTATGCACCACGTCAACCCCGCTTTATCGTGCGCCTACCAGGTACGGAACGAGGAATGGACGAGCCGCTGCAATATAGCCCTTTCTTTGAACAGTCTCTGCTTATGGATCGATATCACTTTCCTTTGAATTATGGGTGGCTCACATCCCGAGCATCTAGGCATTTACGGCTGGCGCAATCGGCCTTGGGAATGCCATGGTCTTATGCTCAGACGGCTTCACAGTATTTCATTTTAGTGACCTTAAAATCATATCGGAATATAATGAGCGTCATGTAGTGCTTTGCAGACGTGGGTACCAGGACGAGAAATGGCATGGGATGGGACACCGCCGGATGCATATGACGGATGAAACATGTCGGCAACGTATCTTGGAAACGTTGTCTAACGTAATATCTAGAGATTTTCACATACACTAACCTTGTTGAGAAACCGACACCAGTCATAGACAGGAAGATCAATAAGGCTCTGCAGCCACAGTCTGGTAGTTTACAGCTGGGAATGTTGATATCATGGTCTTCCTAAGGCTTCACATAAGGTTTGTGTAATGATATTTTCCCATTAAGCTTTTGAGGATTGGCATTTGGCTTACTTTTTCATAGAGCCAATACAGATGTTCAGCTGCTAAATAGCAGTCCCCTCTCCAATGCCCAGAATGATCGAGGTACTACAGAGTGGTGGCTGCAAAAATACTCCTAAATGCGTGAAGAGACTAAGTACCGGAACTGGCTGGACCCTGTATGATAGGTAACAGCATTTAATGCGCATACCATCCAGAGCTACAACTATTTGACCAGGGACGTCATCGGTCTGTCGCCCATTCGGGCCGTTCATTTATAAGAGGGACAAACTTTCCCCCATGAAACGGAATCTGAACTTTCATTGCATTGCGAAAGCTGGCTTACTCTCTATATATCAGCGCCATTTTTAGCAGTTAAACCAACCGACCCAACGGGCAAATTGCCGTCAATGCCACCGACATCTACTTTGGAGCCCATAGAATGATTTAATCAATTTAGCTATGAGATGGAACGAAATTTACCTTTTACTGTATCGGACGAGAAGAAAGAGAAGAAGATTACTTCATATACTTGGGATAGCAATTCTTGGAACCCGCGAATAATCCATACTTGTCGCTGACGCAGACCAAGGCCTGATCAGCGGCACTCATGATGCTCAGAGTATCTATGATGATCATAACTTCGGCGGGAACTCTGATTTGATCTCCACGTTGTTTGTCCACTTTCCCTCCCGTCTTCTGAAATTTCCACAATATACCAGGCACATTCTTCTATCTCATCTAGCAATTTCTGAAGATTCCTCGTAGGCACGGTCGGGTTTTGATATGCAATGTGCTTTGTGCTGGTGAAGGAACCGGTGGTAGGTTCACAAAAGAGCATACTTTGCAGTCTTGAGAGTTCGCGCAGTGCCGTTTGTAGATCGGGAGTGGTCTGTAGAAGGTCGCCAAAGCTGAATTTATTCTCGCAAATATAACCTCTGAGCTTTGCGCAAGCATCGCGCGAGTCCTTTAGCGTGAAATCCTCGTCTAGGCGTTGCGGGTAATTAATTTCAATTTCCGAGCTTGACGACCGACAGAATCTTTGTAGGAGTCCTAAAGTACTGTTGTACAAGGCAACCTGGGAAACCATTTTCTAGTGTGGCTCGAACTCGAACTGTTGCCGCAGCGCTTAAACATGGCTTCACACCGTCCAAGTAATATGTGTTCGCCCCGAGTGGTTCAATTTTGCCCATCGTCGGATACTTTTGGCTTTTGGCACATGTCAGAGTCATACTATTTTAAGAGGTGATTGACCTTCTCTCGTGCATTAAGCTGGGTAGCGCTTAGGTAGCACAAGGGCCGACCCGCTCATGTCTGATAGCGGAAAGCTGTTCTTTTTGCAGTCATATCGGTCTGCCTGCACAAAACATTTAGTAGTCTATTTTTACTGCAATCTAGATTACTGTTCCCAAAGTCCCATGTGTCTCAATCTATAGTTGATCTGTTTAGTGGTAGGTCGCATGGTGGTTTCCGTGAAGCCAAAGGATTTTCTAATCTTGACATTACTTATATCGATGAGACTTTTTTTTCTTATCCGGATGGAGCAAAAATACGATCCGCACTCAGTTCGTCAATGGGCTAGTCTCGCAAATCCCCTTCGCCAGCCTGGTCAACTCTCACGTAGACTTTGACCACTGGAAAAGACGAAGATTGGGGAATTTTCAGTCGATTCTCTGAATACTCGATCGAGCCTCTACATCCTTGACAGATACAAGCTCTTTCGTCAATTCCACAATTCTTAGGTCAAAAAACGCGCAGTAGTTGTTTAACATAGCTGACTCGCGAGCTTTTCGTATGGCGCAGGGCTCTTGCTTTGGGCCTGTAGATTCCGATTCATTTAATCGCGGGTTACCAACTATAAGTCACGACGGATAGAATTCCAATGCGAGGGTAGTTTCTCACTCCTTGCTACGGCATCATCGCAATCTCTTTCTTCTGGATCCCTTATCCACGTTCCTTTGTTTCCAGAAGTTTCCTCTGGCAAGCTTCTAGTAGGAATGCGTGACCCCTTTCTCGCCTAAAGATGATGGGCCGTGAAGTCCATTGTAGATTGTGGGCAACTTGCAGGGGATGTTCTCCACGAGTGGACAAGAGATGTCTGGTAGCGGCTAGTCCAAGGCTCAACAGCGAATCAACCAAAGTATCTGTGATCTGCCAGTCGGTGTTCGCAGTCTTCTCACTCAGCTTCACGCTGCCCTGCGCTTGGTCTCGCCGTGGAGTTTGTGGCAGTGTGTCTCTGTACAGTCGGATTCGTAACAGCCATCGGAGACAGCGCCAGATGAACATCATATCCTTTAATTCCTCCGACGTGAGCCCTCCTGGGTTACCAGTGGCAAAGAACTCCGGAGGATTGTCGAGAACCTCGCTTTGAAGGCTCCCAGGCTGAGTGTTAGTGCCAAATCCGTTGTTGCTATGGATGGTATGTCCTTCAAGCCAGGCTTGTTGGCCTTGCCAATCTTCCTCGCGTCCTTTGCCAGAGCCGAAAAGTCTGCAAAAGGTCCAGACTCGCCAGAAGGCTCGATGCATGACGTTCCATCGGGGGTCTTGGTAGTTGTCTAGGGCCAACTTTAACACTGACCACCGCGTCTCATCTAATGAAAGTGCCGCTGCTTCACATTGTGTCAGAATAGCTCCCGTTATATATGCGCACGTGAGGATCTCGTATTCGTAGTGATCACAATAGTCTTGAGCGCTCAAACAAAGAGGCCTTTCTCGGAAAGGTGACACTAGATGTAGGAAATAGCCCTGTGATCCAGGCCGAAGTACCCTTCCTGCTGGTGTCACAGGCAAGCCCATTTCTCGCAATTCGAATTGCTCCGGATGTGACCGCTGTAGGACAGATCGGATCAAGCTGAGGCCTGAGGAGATATTCTCCAGCTGAACCCCATTGCGCGTAGCTAAATCAAAAAGGTCACCTAAAGACGCAGCGTCTTGTAATGTAGTCACTAATTTTCCATCAAAATGGGGTCCGACTGACGTATGTCTAATTTCGTTCAGGCCAAGAGTTGGCCCGGGCCTACCTGGCTCACTACACGGGCGATATGAAGGCATGCCTCCCGATGAAGACTCGAAGCCTTGGCTATGCCCTGTATTCTGTTGGATGTCGAGCCCCAAAAGAAGCTCAATACTCTCATATAGCTCCTCCTGATTAAGGAATTGGGATCCCGTCGGACGCGCCAGGCACCTATCTTTACCTGTCCGTGATGCGGTTTGGGATACACTCAAAGAGTCTTTCAGCAACTCTAGATGACTGACATGGGGGTCAGACATATGCGGATCAGAAGACTGCGGCGGTTGCTGGTACCGGGCCGACATCAAAGGTGAACGCCTGCGGTCAATGTTCCCATGGACTGGAGGGACTCGATACTCTGATTTGTCTTCAGGGCTCGTTACTACCCCTTGTGGCATCTCAGTCTCACACGTTCATTGAGGTCCCAGGCACCGGAATATTCAAGATCTGCAGGTGCTCACGACTAGCAAGTAAATCACACGGAAGTCTGGTCTAGTAATTCTCTCAGCATTGAGTTATTTCCTGGAACATAGAGAAGGGGGCTTGAAAGGGAGAATAATTCAAATCCGATTGAGCTATTTTTGAAACATGATAAAATAGGCGTGGTGGGTGGAAATATCTCACCGGCCTGAGACTGTTACGCGCGCTTCGACAGAATATGGACAGTTGCTTGTCGGTCATCACAAGTACAGCATCCATTCTCTCGGTGAAGCCCTGCGTTTATACGCGCCAGGGATGAGCCTGAGCTCCAATTTTCCTTCCAAGGCACGCGATGAGTGGGTGCGGTGAACCAGAAAAGCCACTGATATATATAAACGGGCCACCTAATCTACGGCGGCGGTGACCTTGTCTCTGATTATTTATCTGAGGGGATTTCTATTGACCTTTCCCGACAGTCTACGAGCAAATCGACATCTTTAGATATTGCCAAACTGCAGTGCAGTTTGATGACTGAATCGAATTTCTTAAATCTCCCGACCCGTCTTGATCTCCGCTCTATGTCCACTGATGGGGTCCTTAAATGCGACCTTTCTGGTGGGCTTGATCTCATTCAAGGCCATGCCTACCTCCCAGAGGAGGTCGGCTCCAAAGGAAGGATATTCTTGGGTCTCCTCGGCAAATTTGTGGTTTTGATCCCGAAGATATCCTTCAACGGAAGCCGCTGCCAAAATGCGACGGACCAGGTGCCCCTGGGGTAGATGTGATGCCGCTGCAATGTGCTGTGGGGTGAGGCAGTAAGTGTTGGTGTCCACGTGTCTCCAAAACCCTTCGGATTGAGGGTTTGGATGGGCAACAAGAATCTTCTTGATAAAACGAGCCATTTGAGGCTCCAGTCCGCTCACGCTGCACAAGTCGGCGAGTCTCACCAGCTCTATGGCGGCTGATATCTGATCTCCGGGGTCTTCTACATCAAATATCACCATGCGAAGGTACAACCATTGGATCAAGGCTTCGACGCTTTGTCTGGAGACAATGCCTTCCACTTTGCTCAGAGTCGCTGTCTGCTGCTGAGATCCGGGATCCTGCTTCTCAAGTATTGCGGAGAAGTACGACGACTCGGCGCAGAGAAGACCTTTAGAGACTGTATACTCGTGATCGCTGAAGTCGATCCGAATTTTTACGTGCGGGCCACAGTAGAGTGGGAGAATGCTAGTGCAGAATTCTATCAGGCATGCCATCTTGCAGTGGACATGGCTTACTTACAATGTTGCAAACTCCTTCGCGCTTTTCTTGGATAGCTCGGTCATACCGTGGTCTCTGCTGAGCCAATAGATGGGATAGCAAGGAAAGAGGGCGTTCGAGAGGGCATTCAGTGTAGGGACTGGAGGTAATGTATAGTCAGGTGGAAGGTCCTTGAAAAGCTTCCAAACAATGTCCATGGGCTACAAAAGAATAACACATAATTGTTTAATCAGTGCCAAATTTAGATCCGAGACGTAATGTGCCAGTGTGGTGCGAGATGCATCGGATCCGCTACGCAAAAACTACAGTCACGCCAACAGAGCGGAAGGCATGGCATAACTGTCTCAGTCAGGGGGACCTTTGAAGTCTTTGACAACGACAACACTTGCGTCAATTTCGCTGATCTTTCAGATGTCGTGAACAAAGATTCGTTAGAATGCAGTCCGAGATTGTCAATGCCAGGTATTGTACTGCATATATAGCTCAATAGATGGTAGACAAATCTAATTTCTGCGGAAATCTATCGAGTTAAAGCTGTAAGCCCGATGCGCTTCATCAACGGGATCTGGGTACGGCTTTCAGATAGGTGTGCCTTTCTGGTATGACTCTGCGATTCCAGACTCTTACTTCTTTTCAGTTGCGCACATCATGTATCAAGACAGCTTGGCATTGATAGGGATCACTGGGGCGACCTTGTGATAGAAGAAGCCTTACAACCTCCCCCATACTCCAGCTTCCCGGGCCACTGGTCAACCAGCCTACGATGTGTGTATTGCGGGAAGCGACGGTCACGCGCCTACTGCCGATGGCATGCGATAGAGCCATCCAGGTTTCCCCGAGATGGGCTTTGCTCTCGGCCAGTCTGCATCTCATCGAGGCCCTCACGTCTTTACGCTCCATATGACCTGATAGCCGAGTTGCCCCCATAGAATGGTTCGTTTCCGCTTTTCATTTGATTATCTTGATAATCGGCCTCAGGAATAAAACTAGCTGATGCAACCTGCATATACTAGATCCCGCGCATTAGCCGAGGAAAGTCCACAGAATTGCTTGATGAGCGTGGGTGAACCAAGGTGGTTGGACTGTGCAAAATACTCGAGACTTGCTTTAAAGTCAAAAATTGCTCATTAGTTTATTCCTTGATGTCGCTCAAAGATTTGGGACTTCTGCTACAGCAAACGTGGAGCCGCCCGACGAAATATTCTAATTATGACTTGCATACCAATCTTACGATGCCTGTTTATTATTTCAAACCATGTTTCTATTCTGATACTCAACCAGTGTCATCAGGCGCATCCATTCAGTCATTGACATACGATATTCAAATCCTCTTCTGCCTTCGTCCCTGAAATCCCTGGAAGAACATAAGTAGTGACGAAAAGAAGAATGAAAGAATGAAAGATTAAAAGAATATTCGCAGCCTTTGATCGCCATTTTGACTTTGACTATAGACCTAGAGAACCGTATATTGCAGTGATGACACGGTTGGTGTCGTGGAGACCGACATCCTTCAGATTCGCGCCGCGTTCAAGGGTGTCAAACAGCTTTAAGGACTCGGTTTAAATAAAGTTTTCTAGCTCATTGTGAGATGCCTCGTAGCCTAGTGGCGAAAGAGAGATTCCAAAAAGTAGCCATGCTCATATCAGGGAAAATTCGATGCATTAGCAGGAAAGGTACATGTATCTGCTCAAATATTGCTGTGAACAGGACACAGATCTGACCAAATGTCAGACTCAAGCTAGGGATCAGGATCTCTGTTGAAGATCCGGCTACAAATAAAACGGCTGACGGAGCGCCTCGTTACAGTAGCACCTCCAAGGCTAAAAAGAATATATAAGCACCGTATAGCTGCATGGAGTGAATGGCGCTAGAAGCACAGATTGAATGAGCACAGCAAGAGCTGAAACTTGCATGCTATTTCCTATTCGTTCTCCGCACTTAGGGATTACGCAATCACCCAGTCTGATATACTACCTTCTACCTGTCACGGTTCACAACGAGCTCTATACCGAGATAGGAGTGCTCTAAACCCGATGCCAAGATACAGACAAAAGCTTGCCTCACACACAAAGATTGGATTCCGGCTACCAAGACAAACGCGAGTCTTACAATTTTGACCTTGGTAATGTTACCCGATGACGCACACAAAGTTATCAGTCTAGAATATTGATTAAATCTTGAGCAAATGGCGATGGTAGCAGCACATTGGAACATTGAATCAGAGTTTGCTGCAGCCACAAATTATAGAATCGTCGAGGCGTACAGCGGCAGAGAAAACTAAACGCATTCAGTCTCTCATAGTCAGATACCGATCTTGGTAGTTACAGTTCATTCTTCTTTACGATGTTCTTTCATATGAATGATTAGATGTGGCTGCAAGAACCAATCTGGCAATGCAAGGCACGAGCACGGCTTGAATAAAGCGACGGAAATTCAAAGTTCCGTAAATCTGCAAACTGCAAACATGACTACGGTCATAGAGTATCGTTATATCAGCAATGCTATATTTTTCAGAGTTTCGCAGAGAAAAGGAAAAGGCTTTGCGGCGAATGTCACATTCGGGAAGTAGTCAGTTCCAGAACCATCTCGCAGGCATCTTAGGTAGTACGGCGACGTTTATTGCAACTATCGGCCAAATGAGAGCCGTCCCGCTTACGAGCAGTAGAGTGAGACCAGAATGGCGGATGTTGCAGGTACATCAATTGCATCAGAGACAACGGGGCCCCGCTGATAGGGTGCGATGTTATTCCGTCAACAGTGAGACCTATGTCAATAGGCGTATCTAGAGAGCTCACGTAAATCGTACAGTACAAAGGGATCGTGTACGGGCGCGTCAGGGTACCCATAACAAAAGATGCATGTTCTAGTTTCTCACCGAGTGACTGACATATGTCCCCATCTTCGGGCCATCGGGACAGAACTGCTAGTTGGACGCAGTATTGTCCTACATTGGAGTTAAAGGTTGGCGGTGACAGCAAAGCAGCATAGAAACAAGACGCAAGCATTGCAAGCTGTAAGTGAGAAATGCTTTGCTGGACTTGAGGGGACTCCATGTATTGTTCTGTCTCCGTGATGAGATCTGCAAGGAAGGCTGCGTCATCCAGTGCAATTGGCGGTTTTCTCAACGACGGCTCCACGCGATAATGTTTACCATCCCTTTCGGCTCGATTGAGGGCACTGGAAAATTTTCCATACATAGAATCGGCGTCCACTACACTGCCCAAACCACAGCCTAATCTCGAAACCCATTCTGGAACGAGATGCTTTATCCATCTCCGCGAACGGCTTTTGTCCGGGCACAGAAACCGACCAGTCCCAAAGCTTACCGAATAATCAAGTAGACGGCTGCCTAGCATAGAAAGCTCATTCAGCTCCATCATTGCCACCCAAGCAGGGCAATTAGCAGCAAAAGCCCCATCCTGAAGTCCGTTCACTGGCTCAAAGACCAAGGGGGCAGCACAGCTTGTGGCAATGCTACGTAAGAACCAGAGAAGATCAGCATATCCTATCTGGGAACAAACCAAGGCCATGGTCATCAGAGTAACGGGAAACATACGCTTGCCACAGGGGAAGATCGAACAAGCTCTCTGCTTTGTATTTTCCGTGTTCTACCTCGCGCACCACGTCTCCGTAGGAACGGAATAAGCATAGTTGTGAATCGAAGGTTGCCGACGTGATGGCTACACGTACAACATCTGGTTTCGTTCTCACTGTGCTCTGTCGCATCAGGTCATTTCCAAAGGCATTTCTGAGTATGTGGCAAAATACATTCATGTCATATCGTGCCCCGGTCTTGTGGAGACGGAGCAATCTTCGCACAAGGGCTATTAATCCGCGGTTCTTCATAAATACGTCACTTGCCGTGGAGCAAAACATCTCAATGCAATACGACAACGGCCATTGCATAAGACCAAGCGCAGCGCTTATGATTGAGCCTGCTCCTCTGACCGTCAGTTGAACCTCGTTTATGTGCACAAGACTCACAAGGCCCAACTCAACGTACCTGTACTTGTACCGACTATGAGATCGAAAAAGTGATGTACGGACAGTGCCTCTGGAAGGCTCGCGGTAATAGCTCGAAGAGCAATGAGCGAGACTATTCCTAAGACACCACCTCCATCAAATGTTGCGACTCGATAACCGGCCTGTAACGGGCGAAGCCGTAACTTTATGTCCACCGGTGCATGGCATGCCGGGCAGGCTTTGAATTGGGCCAAAGTCGGGTGCCCGGCATCATTGGGTTGGATCCCAGAATAACGCCAGGCGTCGCGCTCGCATAAGCTGTGACCGCAAGGGAAAACGGCCCAGGGTTGCAGGCTCCATGGACACATGCAGCAAAATGGCTTTCCTCGGACTTTTTGTAGCCCCAATTGCGCATCGTGCCAGAGATCCGTGATCTGGAGCCCCATTTTTGAGACTACATCATCTAAAAAGCTGCTAAGTCCTTTGTGGGTTATCCAGACACACTGCTGAACGGCACAGTGCCACGCTTGTCTACACAATGGCCCATATATGCTTGCAACGAGCTCTGCGGGGAGGAAATCTAAATGCACCAGCATACTCTGATAAGTGTGGTGTGGGCTCTTTCGGTGGGATAATACATACCGTGCGGGAGGAGGCCGGCATCCTCCAGAAACATCTTTGCAAAGACCGGGGCCAAAACGCTGTTCAAATCGCTATCGTGATCCATGGCCTGGAGCCATTGTGATAAGCCGTTATGTTTTTGTATCTCTTTTCCGGGCCATATCCGCTTTCGAAACGCCATTGGATACCAGGTGGCGCCCCGCCTTGGGCTGCTAAGCCTCGGCAGATCTTGACGGTATGCTACAAAAGGCATTTTGGTGACGATGTATTGCTCAAATAGATAGTTGAGCTCTCCAAGTGTCCATATGTGGCTCTTTTTTTCGCGTCTCTTTTTCATTGTGGTAGTATACATTTGGATGCGGGTCAAAAGTTCGGGCAAATTCGTTTTTTGCGGGTCATCAAATTGCACAATCAAATGCTGCAATAGTTGCGAAGTCCACTGGGAGGCATTCCCATCTTTGGCCAATTTGGCTTCGAGGTGTTTCTTTACGCCCGTCTCATCTACTGTAGTCTGTGATGAAATCATTTCAAAGAGAATAATCAACTGGGGCTTTCTATCGGCTCTAACATCAGTGCAGTCTCGAAACTGTAGGAATCTGTGAACAGCCTCGTCCACGGTTCGGGCTTTGATACATATAACGTCACTAAACTCCAGGCATAGGCTATGAAAGATTTTAGCAGTGTGCTCGGCATCTATAGAAACAGACTGCTTGGCATAGAGTGGTTGTGGCTTGAGGCTACAGGCCGCAGAAAGCTGCAAAAAGTTGCATACGGTGTTTTCACCTTGAACCTCATATAATGATGTATGAATACCAGGACCGTATGCCTGTGGCTGTTCATAGCCAATGATGGTTACGCAGACTGGTTGGCATTTCAACTGCTCAATATCGGTATAGGGCTCATACAGCTGAATCAACGTGCTCAAGCTGTCCACCTGACAGCTTGGAAGGATAGCCCATGGTAAGACAGAAGGGGCCATTGAGAGTCCTCCTTCAACCAAGAAAGTTGTACTGACACCTACTTTATACCATCTTTCCGGCAGCCTTATGGTCCGAAATTGAATGCCTGCCCTTTTCGTTGACCAAGGTATCCGCCCAGAAATGCTTTGAAAGATGGAAAAAAAAAGACAGACAAACCGCTTCTGCGGTCTTTTTTAGAGCACCAGATAAGGTTGCTGTCGGTATTGGATCAAACTTGAGGATGAGGCAATGAGGGCAAGTTTCGCCGGTGGTGCATACTTATCAAATCAGGGACATCGAATAGTGGCGCGACAGCGCCGCAGCCCTTCGCATGGCTAAATTTAGTTGCATGTTTTTTGTGCAGCTGAGGATGCCAAGTTCCAAAAAAGACACAACAATTAATGATTTTTGTTCGTCTACCTTTCACGTACACGCCACAAAAGATAAGAAGCCGACCTTTTGAGGTGCGTAGAGGTCAGAAATCATGCCCAGCGACAGCACCCCTTTTCTTTGCACTCGTATCGAAAAGCTCAGAAGAGAAAACCAACAAATACCTTCAACTAACCCATTCCTGGAACGAAAGCTCAGAGAAATCAAAGACAAGTCTCGCTCTCACCCACTGAGGACCCAAATGCTCGGTCCGGTATGCGTACAATAAATCATACGCTATGTCACAGTTTCGCTTCAACTAAGATCTACATCTGCATTGCAGACAAGTATCTATGTCAGCCTAGTCTTATTGGAATCTCTGCCAGCACATTGGGGTCTGCAGATGCAAGAACAAGTCTTATTCGAAAACTTTTGTGGTCTGTTCACGATAGGACGGAAACAAATGGGAAAACTGCAAGCACTGTAGACAAGAATTCATGTTGTGATTTTCGGCAGAGCAGGGTCGACACTGCTGCTTTAGATACATTACTTTTGCTACTGGCTATCACAGAATATGGGCTACTATCATGGGTTGTCAATGCGCTGTATGTAGCAGGATCCGCTGGCCGTGACTCTACTTTATTACGTAGCTATGTGGCCGACCCATTCATCGTACGTGCAAACTCTTAGCACTTTTTTGTTGTCACAATTATCACCCAATCGCCTTGATCAATTAGTAAAAGTAACGCCCGGAGGACCATCTGGGAAACACGTCATGTCAACGTTACAATGTGCTTGGGGTTTCAAATCCGCAAACCGTTATGGACAGAGATCTCCGTGATGATGAATGCCAGAAATACCACAACAAGCTTATCTGAAGGTAACGCTATCTAGAGACTACACCATCTGCGGGAGTCCTCACTTCCATTCTTCTAGTATTTGAATAAATAAATATACAGCGTCCACAAATTTGCAGCAACTTTCTGGGACTAATACAAAAGTTTGATTTGACGTACTCGCAATAAGTCAGTTTATTTGGTATTAGTCTCCAAATTCATTTTTTGACCACCGTTTTCAAAATGGTCGACATAACGCGCTAACGCTGTTCAGGCCCGATTAAGGGATTATACCTTGATCAACTGTGGGTGTTTTTGGAAATCACATCTGGAATACGCAGGTAACATAAAACGGTTTTCCAAAAACATTGATACGTCTAGCGTTCCTGGGTATTACCGAAAGTCAAACTGAGTGTTCATCAGAGTCTATCGTTCGTTTTTTTATCTCCGTTTTCCCCCTTGCTTTTCGTAAAAGTCGGGCTTAATGCATTCTAAAAAGAACCGTGCTAGTGTCACAGAGACTATACAGCATATTGCGGTGAGATCAATGCAACATATGCGGAAGACAAAGTTGAGAGAGCGTTTCACCACTTTGCACTGTTGACGTTCAATGAGACATAGTCGCCGATATCGATCCAATCAGTTGAGCATTCACCCGGAACGCCACCTATCTACGAAACTAAGTTATAGTAGTCATGGTTATTAGTGGTCTTACATAAAATCAGTCTAAATCCCAGAACTTGACTATCCCGCGTATCAACTTAGGATGCTTCATGCGCCCTGTAACGATAGGCCTTCGTATTAACCAATCCTGTATCGCCCCTTCATTTGCTATTGTATTTTTCAGTCTCTCGTCCTTTGGCAGCCCTGGGAATTGAAAAAAGATTGAAGGATGAGAGCATTTCGTTTGTTGCATCTGACCAAGCACCGGTCAAGAATGGTTCCGCAAATAGGAAAAGAACCAATGAGAAGACTGATGATTATATTGGCCACCATCCTTTTATATAGCGATGGAGGGAGCTTGGTGCCCAACCTCCGACAACCATAGAGTAGCCTCACCGCAAGGGCAGTGTTAACGATATCGCCGATGCTGTGGGTACAGTCAGTAAGATCAGACACGGTGGAAAAGACACAGCAAACCGCACACTGGAACGAGTCCAATAAACAGACCCCAGTGGTCAAGCCGTTGAGCCCGGCGCTGAATCGCATTGAGTCGTTGTGCGTGCACCTCCGGTAATTCCTTTGAGTCAACGGACCCATCAAGGTCAATCAATGCCTTGCAAGGAGACAAGGAATACTGATCAGGAATCTGAGCCTTTATGGGCCATCCTTCGACTGGGGGCGTATTTACATTAATGTAATTGAGTCTCTTTCGCCGTTTCAAAAGAGTGAATGGATATTTGAGCCGACGCAACATGTTTCAGTGACACCCAATGTAGGGATATGGCACTAGGAATAAATACACGACACGAGAGAAGCCGGCTTCGTAAGACAGGTACAGTTCAAGTCACAATTGGACACCGGGATCTAAAAAGGGTCTTTCGCTCCCTAGATTTGGATATCCGGGGGTTGAGCCCATTTGAACATGCTCAGGGTCATCCCAACAGCGCTTATGGTCGAATAGTGGGGCCATTGAAATAATGGGCTAAGAAGAGCCGATGGCCCTGCAATTGGCTGGGAGCTGTCTTTACCTTCGATGCATCATCGACTCAATCTGTCTCTCTGTGCTCCATTTCAGGACTGCAATTTGACAACTGGTTCTTTGTCCATATATCACTGGCCAGCAGAGCGACTGCGGTAGATAAAGTCTGTACTCAATCCTATTGTCTGCTACCATCTTAGACCCTCATGGATTTTAACGACCTTCGAGATCTTTTGGTAGATGTATGAGAATTTTGATTCACACGAGTTGACTAGAACTTACAATGTGCTAGGACATCGTCGAGGAGTTCTTTAAATACTTAAGTTGTCCAGAGACGACGGGATCGCAAAAAGAGCATATAAAACGAGAGGAAAGAGATTATTTTAGGAGAGCTCTCCCAGTCATGGATCAAACGACGGTCATCATGTTACTCTATGCCAAAGATATATTCTCTCGGTTCTTACAATTATTAGCAGAAGCTCGGTCTATTAAGAGTCTATCTGGGTTCCGAGCACTCGCACTTACTTGTTTCTTAATATCCCAGAAAGGTGAGGTGTTGACGCCAAACGAGAGACTTGGACAAGCTGATTCCTTCCATCGCCAGTACTCCACAGAGATTGGCCCTGTATCGACGAGCCAGTATCGCACAATGGCGTCTTGGAAGGTGACTATCAGCATGTGATCACTCGCATGAACGCTCAAAGTGTTGCCGTTATAGTACATATGGAGCAACAAGTCCTCCAACTCCTGAACTATGACCTGAAAAGTTCGGGATGGCTGAACCAGGTAGACAACTGGTCCTGGATTCTTTCAAAGAAAGAGCGGCAACAAGAAGAGACAAGGGCCAGTAAGACGCGTTTGGCTTATCCTTATTCTCTTGTGCACGATCTAGAATCGGAGATAGATAGACTTGAGGGTCTTTCGAGCATAGACAAGCGAGCATTGGAGAGGCAACAACGCATTCTGGAAGCCATACGTCTGGCAAAGCCCCACCTGTCTGGATCTTGGCTGAAAAGAATCAAAATGGCAGAAAAACGAGCCCACCAGGTCGGCAGTGCAAGGGGTAGCGGAGGCGAAGGGAATTCGGAATCTCAAACCCCAAATCCCAATTCTAGACGCATTCTTAGAAGAAGTAGCAGGCTACGTACGCTACAAGAAACAAAAACCTAGCAAACGGTATGACGGTCAAGTTCTAGGCTCAAGTCACGGGGCACACATGCAGATACTGATATGGATCCAGGTTGGCCCGGTATATGTGAATAGGTGTGCTTTCTTATCTATGTCCATGGCATATATCCACGTTTGTCTCTACTAACAATTCCACACTTTATTTCAAAAGAAGATTTCAGAGAATTCCCATCTTGCATATTGTAGGAGCCTGAGTAGTGCAGAAGATCGGATGGGTGAGATCTACTTGCAATACCTTTTGATAACCGAGTTAGAACGCGGTAGAGATCAAGCGAGCTTCATGATCCGAGGCCTGTTGGAATATTGAGCGGTGCTTTGGTCCGATCACGTGCAGAATATGACTGACGTTGGACAAAGAAATAACGAATTGCGTACATCACGGGGACCAAACGCACATAAAACGGCTTTCCCGGCGGTTTCCTTTTTTTGGAAGACAGCAATTCTATACAGTTCCGTGCGATCAACGAATGCACTCACTGTGGCAATATTAAAACGGCCAGGAAGGGAACATCAGTAAGGCCGACAATAGAGGAACAACGCTATTGATCTGGGCCCCGCAGAAAACAACCGACAAAATCGTGCAGATGCTGCTAGAGCGAGGAGCCGATGTCAATGCCCAGGGTGGATTTCACGGAAATTCGCTTCAGGCAGCTTCTTCTCAAGGACACGACGAAATCGTGCAGATGCTGTTAGCAAGAGGGGCTGATGTCAACGCCGAGGGTGGAGAATACGGAAATGTGCTGCACGCTGCTTGTTCTTTTGGACATGATAAGGTCGTGCAGATGTTGTTGGGAAGAGGAGCCGATGTCAATGCCGAGGGTGGAGAATCCGGAAATGCGCTCCAGTCAGCTTCTTTCGAAGGACACGACGAAATCGTGCAGATGCTGTTGCAAAAAGGAGCCGATGCCAATTCCCAGGTTGGATTTTACGGAAATCCGCTCTACGCAGCTTCTTTTCAAGGACACGACAAGATCGTGCAGATGCTATTAGAGCAAGGAGCCGATGTCCACGCCCCGGGTAAAGAATACGATAATGCGCTGCACGCTGCTTGTCTTTTTGGACACGACAAGATCGTTCAGATCCTGCTCAAGCGCAGAGCTGATCAATGTATATGGTTTCGCTTCCCTGGAGCGGGTTGAAAAAAATCATCAGGTTCGGGGAATATACAGTATTATTCAATATTATTCTGGTTCCCTCATCCTTATCTGTCGACCACTTCGGTAATAGTGCAATAATACTCAACTTTAGCATCTTTGATTAGAAAAAGAACCCAAAATCATCATTATGAGAGCACGCGGCCATGTACCACGTAGTTGCTTATTGTCGAGACAAAGCCATGTTGAATGCATTGTAAAGACTTGAGTGCTTTCTTCGTTCTTCACATTGTCTGGTCAATGAGCGAGCTTTTCGATCATCTGCCGGACCTATTGTCTATCTTACTCACCAACAAGATCAATAAATAGCCGCAGGCTGAAGCATACCTTCGATACAGGGGAGAATTCTAAAAGAACCTTCACCTTTATGGCGCTTATGACGCCAGCTACAGCTTTGATAATCCAAGCTCGAGAGGTAGGTCACAACACAGTAACTTGCCAAAGAAGACCGGAGAAGCCGAGCCTTAGCCTCAATCCGATTCTAGGCGCATCGCAAGCGGTCAAAGTAGACAAACAACGTGAGCTCAGCTCCGTTTATCTCGAGGGAATGTGTACATGAAGGTTTCTGATAAAGTACCGTAGACAATAGATTTAAGCCACTGTGATAATTGACCGAAAGGAAGTTTTATCGCCCCAAGGTGAAATAAGGGGGACCTAGGATTTTGCCGTATCCGCAAGTTCATCATTAGGGTTTAGGGTTTTGGGCTTAGGGTCAAGGGTCAATTGGAACCTGGCTTTCTTACTCCTCCCTCTTTCATGACTTGATCGTGACTCTTACCTTTTGTGTCCTCAATTCCTATGCGACAACTCAATCTCAGGCGAGTATCGTCAGAAAGTTGGTAATTTCTCAATTCGTTCACTGACAGAAAAACCATGGGCGGAAGCCAGTTGAACGCAGTAGGATCTCGATCCTGTTTCCAGGTTACGTGCAGGGATGTCCGTCCCTTCTGAACTTGAGATAGAATAATTCTCGACGTAAAAAACGCACATTGGCTAGCCGTTATGACATAAAACCACTCACTAGAGACAGATATCTGGCTATGGGTCCCAAGTAGAGAGAGGGCAGAGGGTTTATAATAAGCTCTGAATAGACAGACTATAATGCATGTTTATCCCATATACCCAGGTTCGACATGCAGACCGCAACGGAAAATCGAATCGGCTCTGACTATTTGAATCCCAAGCGAGAAAACAAGACGGTGGTATATCACGATAAATGGGCCTGTCCTACGATAGGGGGCTATACGAATGTTGCACAAGGGCATAGGATGGATTCTTTGCGAGGTGGGTTTTCAGTTACGCAAAAGGCACGTTGCCATTCTGTTGGCTGGTCACAAGCAGGGTCAAGATCCTAATCAGTTACCCGGTTATCTGCAATTCCCGAAAATGATCCAGCCTATGTCAACGAAGGAATCCTCATTCGAATTTCAACTTACCCTAGAGGCGGAAAAGCAGGAATATCTGAAAAAGGCATAATGCATGGGTAGCCTCTCACGATGGATAATACAGCAATCAAACGCAATACTTACAGTAGCCAGTGTCGATGCAGATGTCTTCTCATCTAAATCAGTGAACCGATGGCATCAGTAGTTGCCTTGGGGATTGATTGGGACTTGGCTCGTTGAACTGAAGAAAATTTATCGCACAGAATACGTAACATTCCGTTATGAGCATACTGGTCAGCCTTTCCTATAAGTGCCGTCGGTCCGGCCAGAGCTCAGTCTGCTTCAATTCTAGAAAGTCTTGAAAAATGCCACAAACCCCTTTCACGTTAAAGTGGCTGATTGGTGCGCTTCTTTCTCTCCCTGCAATTGCTGCGCCGCCATGGACGACCCAAATAAATACCACAATGTGCAACTGGAACGGGTTTCGTGGTAAGTCGCACCGCACTAAGCATACAAATCGCACGAGCACAACGTTGATCCGACCAAGGCTTCCAACTTCGGCAAACTATCATACTGAACGGCGGCTCCTTATGGTGGCAGAGGTTCGTGACCTTGTGCTTTCATGACCCACACTGACCCTTCCCTAGCGGGTATTCCGATGGATCCTACGGCATACCAGCAAATGACGGTAACAAATCGACAGCTGTTACGACGGTCCATGAAGAATAACAGCTGATCGTTCCAGCTAGGTGGGAGCCCATTTTATAGCCTGTCCCTCGCTGATCGATTCAACAATGAAACGACCAACACATCTAGCCTTTTTTCAAAGGCACCCAGCCCGACCGTGGCCCAAGTGAACTTTGAAGATGGCGCGATGTTTGGGAACGATCGAGAAATCATTCTCTACGGGTAAGTCCCGTCGCCCCGTTCCCTTGTCTCGAGCTTATTCTGACAGCGTCTTCTCAGGGGATTAACCAGGCCAATGGACAGCAAGGATGTTCCCGACGCGAGGGAGGTTCTTGGATATCGATATCTGGATACAGCCACAGGCCGTGATGAGGGATCGTTTTTTAATTCGTCACTACCAAGCAACGTGACTCGCTACGTCACAAATGGGGGTTCGGTATCGGTGCCCAGCGAGGACCTGGCTTTTTATTTCGGTGGCATGCGCGGTCAGGACTGGGGACCTATCACCTCGGACGATGCATCGGCAAACACGTCGGCGAACACATTGATTGCAGTCAATTTGGCAGCCACTGGTGATCAGAAACTCTGGCGGAACTTGACGCTGCCCAAATATGTCGCGAGCCGAGCAAACCCGCAAGTGGTGTGGATCCCCGTTTCCCGGCAAGGCGTTCTAGCAGTAATTGGCGGGGTGAAGATCCCAGAAGAATTATATCCGTCGGGTCTTTCATCCACGCAGCAAGAGCAAAATGTAAGACTCCACCCGCTCTTCTGGCCCGAAGAAGAACCTTGGTTAACCCAGCATAGTCCCTGACCGACCCGGATTTTATGACTATTATTCCAATTTACGATATCGCGCTCGATAAATGGTATGTACGCTGTCGGCCTTCCCGAACTGAACGCAAGCTTCACTGTTGATACATCTACAAGGTATCTCCAAAATGCCACGGGCGATATTCCCTCAGGGGGTCGTTCCTCGTTCTGCTCCACGCTGGCTTCGGCATCGGATGGCAGCTCTCACAATATCTACATCTACGGCGGCTATGACGGACAAGATTCCACTACTGCCCCTTATGACGATGTGTACATCCTCTCCTTGCCATCCTTTATCTGGATCAGGGCCTACTCCGGGAAATCTGGCCATGGTCGCAGCGGACATCAATGCTTCGGTATCCTACCGAGCTACATGTTAGTGGTAGGGGGTCTATACCAGGATCCATCTATTTGCCTCGACGGTGGCATTCTGCAGACATTCAGCCTGAATGATCTGGAATTTCAAACAACATACTCTCCAGAGGCTGTCGAGGAGTACCATGTACCAAGTGTGGTGCTTCAGGAAATTGGAGGAACGTGGGTCATTGATCTTGCCTGGCGAGCCTGCCAACTTCGGTAGCTGACCAAGACTAGAACAACAGGAAACGCCAGTCGAACTGCACCCGAATTGTGGGGAGACCCTCACCTCAAGTCACTGTTTGATACCCCGTACACGAAGACGGTCACGACTTGGTACCCATATACCACATCGGGAAAGCCGCTGCCACCAAAAACTACGGCCACCCAAGCATCCAGGCGTCAGAAGGATGGCTGGATCATGCCTGTTGCTGTCGGCGTGACTATCCCCACGGTCGGAGCAGTCTGCGTAGTTCTTATGTGGTTCGCTATCAATCGTAAGCGTCATTTGCAACGTGGTTTGTGCCACTGTAGCCCCCAAAGCCGTCATTGGCTACATATGCTCTGTCTCAAATCCGATCGGTCTCGACCAAATGAGGCAGATGGGGCCCCGGTCGAGCCGCAGCCCGTGGTACGCTCCATCCGCATTGTGGGCAACGGAGTCAATGAGCTGCCAGCTCACGTTCCCCCATCGGCCAAGTCAATAAGATCTTCTATCGGGGAGACACCGACATGCATGTATCTGCGAGGACTGGACGCTCCAGGGGGATCGGCAAAGTCCTTGGAGAAGATGCATCTCCCGCCATAGGGTCGACATTTCTGATTGATTAGTTATTTTGGCGAGCGCATACCATGGGGGAACCTGAAGGATCGGCATGAAAGAGGCTTCTTATTGACTTGGTGCGAGTATGGAAGGAAGCGGTACGATCGTTAGTATGAAAGATGCGCAGAATATTGTAGCTAGATCTCATGTTTACCAAATTGCATACCATTCACAGCAGTACGTGGGAGAGAGGATCGCTCACTATATCAATCAGAATGTATCACGCAACCAAGGCGTCTACAATTTGGACAAGTTGATAAGACCAGAGACAAGATACGAAGGTGGGCACCGCGATGCATGAATAATGGTCGGTATTCTGATAAGCAGCGCTGGGTTCGAGCTCATCCTCGTAGTACTGTGTAGCTCGATGCGACGATCTAGCGAGGCGGAGCGTTCTGCTCATTGGGTGATATCACCATGTATCCAGTCAACTTGACAAAATCTTTGAGCTTGTGCTTCTGTTTAAGACGACTCAACTTGTCTGCCTTCTGTTGGACAGAGACTGGTAAGATATGGCAAACTCGTGCGTCGTAGCGACCCGACCTATCTCCGCCCGACTCATATCCTCGAGTGGGCCACGGACTAGCCCTTTAAATACCTAGCCCAAAATCCCAAACCATCGAACCTTTCCATCTGCTCTCGGATTTATTGGGGTACCATTTTTGGTTGCGTCGAGCCTGATAATTGCTGTGCAAGCTCACACGTTTCCGTCCGTCAGAAATCACCAGTCTGGTTTCTGTAAGAATCTCCACCTCCTACGCCTTTCATGACCAGACCAGTGTCCTCTTCCTTCACTTTACCGACTAGCCAGAAACAAACATACAGCCTCGATGGCGCGCCACAAAATAGTGCGGAAGCTTGACTCGCCAAACGAGCTTGCCACTCCGATCATCAGAGACATTCTTGGTCGACCACTGAGCCAC